TTTTTATTAGCATCTTAATCATCATATGGAAAGAGAACATTCTAGAGTAATATCATTAAATGTAGCTCTGATAAAGCACAGTCCCTACTATGTAATATAGAGCAGGTACAAGATATTTTACATTCATAGAGGTATGATACAGAACCATCCTACATCAACAATACTAGAATCAGTTTTGGTTTGAAATTTACTTTGTCTGCAAATAAGATTACTACCTCTGTTTTTTTCTGTGCTCCTGTCACATGGAGAATTGTTTTCTATCTTTTCACTTTCAGTCAGAGCCTAGACTTTTAACACCAGAGTTGCAAGAAGGATATAGAGAAAAGGAAATGTCAAATACAAAGGCCCTGAGGTAGGCAGAAACATGACATATTTAAAAAACAAAAATGGCTGGAGCTGGGAAGGGAAGGTTGAGGGGACAGAGCTGAAGAGATGGATCTAGTCACTGTGTCCTTTTGTAGAGTAGTGGGCAGCTCCGGGGAGGGTGACAGATCTCTTCACAGCTGGGAACGTCACATTGCTTAGTCGCTGTAAAGGCCTTCATCATTGCAAACCATGGGTGAAAGGGCCTCTGCCATTGGCTGGCACCACTTCCTGTCTTGGCAGTGGCTGAGTGCAGTGATCCATCCACTCCTTCCACAAGAAGCAATTGGCACTGGTGTGGACATGGCCAGGAGTGAAGAGCACCCGTAGTTCTGGGAGGTGGCAGTGCCAACCAGCCCATGGCACATGACTGTAGCAACAGACTCACGCCAGGCCCAGTCTACAAATCCATCGCACCTCAGCCCAGCTCCCTGCACCTCTGCACCTGGTACCTCCCTCTTCACCTCTCTGCCTCACCAGGAGGCCCTGTGGGGTGCATCGCCAGCTGCATCTGGATGCAGTGTGGACCAGTTCTGTGATGCCTGAGGGCTCCACACAGACCGTCAACATCGCACCCATCAATCTAAGCCATCTTATCATTTACAGCATTTGCTTTCATCTATAATTTCTAGCACAGACATCTGTGCCAATGGTCACAAGATCAAAACACAACTTTCTCTTTTTCTTTATTGACACATAAAGTATTTCAAGTTTCATATGCCATGGAAAAGCTGTGACTGTAAGTCAGCTCATCTCAGGATAAACCACATCACACAAAGATTACTTACTAATTAAACATGTTGAGATAGGTAATATATTCACATAGTTTAAAAATCAAAATGACATAAAACTGTATATAAAATAAGTTTTTCTCTCATCCATCTCCACTGTTCCCTAGTCACCTCAGGTAACTGGATTTTGTTACACCAGTCAGAGTTTTTATCTTTTTTTTTTTTTTTGACTTTGAAGGTCAGAGTTAATTTATGCAAATTTAAACATGTAGAAATATGTTCATATTTCCCCCTTTAACACAAAAGAAGCACTCTGTTTTTGTCTTGCATTTTTCATATACTTTGTCTTTAAGATCTTTCCCTGTTATTATACTGAAAGTGTCCCTTTTCTTCAACACAGAAGTGTCCAGTACCAAAATGGACTGGCTTGGTTTCATGAGTCCTCTGTGGAAAGGCCTTGGCTGACTTCAGTCTTTCGCAGTTCCAAACCTTGTTGGATAACCTCTCAGTAAAACCCCACTCAAACATATGTAGGTGGGGCAGCAGGATAGATTCCCAGGAGAGGAACTGCTGGGTACAGAGTGCATTCTTTTATAATTTTGGTACATGTTTCCCAGTTGCTTTGCTGGGCAGTCCCATCGGCAGTGAACAAGAGGCTTTGTTTCCACAAACCTTTCTGATTATGTTCCTGACATTTGGTGTGTTGTGTTTAACAACTTCCTCTTAAAACAAAACGATAAACTCAAAATGAACAAAGAAACCCACAAAAACAAACAAAAGAATCACCAACCTCACAAAAGTCCTAATTTACGGGATCTTCTGATTTCCATGGGGTGAATACTCCCACCTGAGCCAATGTGTAGCTGTTGGCATGGTGTCCTTGAGCATGGAGTTGGGAAGAGAGGCGCAGCGGTGGCCTGTGTGTCCTTCCTTCGTGTTGTCACCACACAGTTACAAGAGTAGCACAGAGAACAGTGAAATGGAGTAAGAAGATGATGAGGAAGTTGAGAGTTTATTAACTCCATTTAAAGTATAATTTATTGCCCTGTAAGTTTATATACTTAACATGTTAGTCCTGGCTGCATGTAACAGTCAACTTGCAAAGCCAGCTCTTGAAAACCCTCAGTAATTATCCACTGTGAGCTGGGAAGAACCGGCTCTGCACACCCCTGCAGTTTGGCTAAGCCAGAAGCCAGCAACTGCTATCTCAATTGTTTAACTCTTATTATGATTGCTTTCTGTGTTTAAGGATCACTTGCATTTTCTTTCCTGTTAAATGTCTCTCCACATCCTTTGCACATTTATCTGTTGTGTACCTCATATTTCCAGGAGCTGCTTATATGCATCACTTGTTATAAATTGTGATGTTTTATCCCAGTTTGCTGTTCATCTTTTGTCTTTGCCTGTGGCATTTTTTTTCTGCCATGCAGTTGATCTTGTTGTTTTAATATAGTTGAAGTTTTTCAATTTCTATAGCTTCCAAATGTTGAATAATAATTGCAAAAATGGGAGAAAATAATTTTAAAATTTCCTAATCAATCTCATATTTAAATTTCCACTTTTCTGTAGTCTTAAGCAGTCTGCACAATTCCTGT